GGAATGAATGGAGGGGGCAGGTCTTCACTCAAGGGGGCGGGGCTTTGTCCACAGTGCATCCATCATGGGGATGAATGGAGGGGGCGGGGCTTCACTCAAGGGGGCGGGGCTTTGTACTGATCATGTCCATCATAGGAAAGAATGGAGAGGGCGGAGCTAGTGGGAAGGGGGCGGAGCTTGAGTGTGGGGTGGGAGGGACCAATGTCACCCATAGGAATGAATGCGAGTGGGCGGGGCTCGTGGGAGAGGGCGTGGCCTCATTCTAGGGGGTGTGGCTTTCCCAGAGTCCACCCATAGGAATGAATGGAGTGGGGTGTGGCTTGCGTGAAGGGGCGTGGTCAGAACCAAGGGGGCGTGGCTTCCAAAACTGGGCTCACTTATAGGCAGGAAGAGGTGGGTGGGGCTTATGGTAATGGGGGCGTGGCCCCAGTAAAAAGGAGTGGAGTCTAAATGGAGGGGGAGGGGCCATAGTAAAGGAGGAGGGGCCTGAATGCGGAGTGGGAGGGGCTTAAGTTGAGTGGGGGGGCATAGAAAAGTGGGTGTGGCCTAAATGAGTAGTGGGAGTGGCCAAAGGGTGGCTCTATATGGGGACCAGAGGAATGGTAGGTAAATGGGCGGGGCTTTATAAGAAGTGGGCGTGGCTTGCGGGGGGAGGTGGGCGGGGCCTGCCTTAAAGGGCCGTCGCACCTTGAGCTCCTCAGGCAGGTCGCTGTAGTCGATTTCTATCAGTGCTTCGCGGGCGTAGAGACTGGAGGAGCGCTGAGAGCCGCTGCCTGCTTCCTCCCCACCACCACTGCCCTACGGGGGGGGGAGAAAAAGGGGTCTTGAGTCCCCCCAGTGGCCCCCCAGAGCCCGATGTGGGTCACAAAAGGGGTTGGGGGGTGGACTGATCCCCACGGTGGCCCCCACAGGACTCTATAAGAGGTTGGGGTTGGCCTGAGCATCCAATGGCCCTGAAGTGGGGGGGACAAAAGGGAGTTGGGGGAGGCCTGAGCCTGCAGTGACCCCCATAGGAGGTGGCTAAAAAGATGTTTGGGGCTCCTGAGCCCCACAGTGGCCCCACAAAAGGACACACAGAGGAGTCGGGGAGTCCTGAACCCCAAAATGTCCCTATAGGAATGAGATAAAGAGAGGTCGGGGGGTTCTGAACCCAAAAACGGCCCCATAGGGGAGAACGTAGGTGGGCTGCGGGGTCCTGAGCCCTCCAATGGCCCCATAGCCGAGGACAAAGAGGTGAGGGCATCCTGAGCTCCCCCCCAGTAGCCCCACAAGGAGTCATAGAGGGATTCAGGGCTCCTAAACCCCAAAACAGTTGTATGGGGGGAGACATAAAGGGTTTGTGGGGGTCCTATGCCCCCCAAATGGCCCCATAAGAGTGGACAAAGAGAGGTTGAAGGGGTCCTGAGCCCCTCAATGGCCCCATAGGGGGGGGGGGAATAGATGGGTTTGGGGCTCCTGAATCCCAAAATGTCCCTATGGGGGGAGAACAAAGAGAGGTCGGGAGGTCCTGAGCCCTAATATGGCCCCTAAAAGGGTTTGGGGGGGGGGGGTCCTGAGCCCCTCAGTAGCCAAACAGAAGGAAACAAAGAAGGGTCAGGGGAATCCTGAGCCCAAAAATGAACCCATAGGAGGGGGGTTATGGGGTCATGAGCCCCCAGTGGCCCCATAGTGGGGGACAAAGAGAAGCTGGGAGGGTCCTGAGCCCCCCCCCAATTGATCTCAGGAGCCACTTTGGGGGGGTTGGGGGGGGGGGGGGGGGGGGGGGGTTAACCTCTTCCTGGCTGATGTCGTCCATGGTGCCCTTGGAGAGGGGCAGTTTGATGTCCTGCATCTTGCAGGCCTGCAGCAGGTTGTGGCGGTCGCTGCGCTTCTGCTCCAGCTTTGTCTCGATGGCCGTCACCTCCTTCTGCAGGTGGGTCATTTCCCTGGGGGGCGGCGGGGGGCGGACACAGGGGGTCACAGAGCGCGTGCGTGGAGAAGGGAATCGGGCTGGGATGCGGTTGGCCCCGCCCACAGGCTCATAGCCCCGCCCACAGGCTCATAGCCCCGCCCACAGGCTCATAGCCACGCCCTTTGAACCATAGCCCCGCCCACTGAACCCGGGGTCCGCCCACTGGGTGAAAGACACGCCCACTGGCTCTAGGCCCCGCCCACAGCCTCATTGTCCCACCCACAGGCTTATAGCCACGCCCTTTGGACCAAAGCCCCGCCTACTGAACCCGGGGCCCGCCCACTGGCTTCAGGCCCCGCCCACAGCCTCATAGCCCCGCCCACAGCCTCCTGACACTGCCCAGAAGAAAATAGCCACGCCCATAATCCCCTGGCCCCGCCCACAGGCTCATAGCCCCGCCCACTGACTCCAGGCTGTGCTCAAATGCCCGTAGCCCCGCCCACTGGCTCCTGGCCCCGCCCACATGATAAGAGCCCCACCCACAGACTAATAGCCACGCCCACAGCCGCCTGACCCCGCCCACAAGATCATAGCCACGCCCACAGACTCTTAGCCCTGCCCAGTGGTTCATAGCCACACCCTTCTGGCTCATAGCCCACCTAAAATTAAGCCCCTCCCCCTCATTAAGCCCCTCCCCCTCCATCCCTGGCTCCGCCCCCAAATGCTCTGCACTGACCCCAAAGCCACAACCCCATCTCCAAAGCCCCTCCCCTCCCAATTACGCCCCGCCCCCTCCC